TACCATACATACCATACATACCATACATACCATACATACCATACATACCATACATTCCATACATACCATACATACCATACATACCATACATACCATACATACCATACATACCATACATACCATACATACCATACATACCATACATACCATACATACCATACATACCATACATACCCTACATACCCTACATACCCTACATACCCTACATACCATACATACCCTACATACCATACATACCATACATACCATACATACCATACATACCATACATACCATACATACCATACATACCATACATACCATACATACCATACATACTATACATACCATACATACCATACATACATACATACCATACATACATACATACATACATACATACATACATACATACATACATACATACATACATACATACATACATACATACATACATACATACATACATACATACATACATACATACATACAACATTACATACATTACATACATTACATACATTACATACATTACTTACATTACATACATTACATACATTACATACATTACATACATTACATACATTACATACATTACATACATTACATACATTACATACATTACATACATTACATACATTACATACATTACATACATTACATACATTACCTACAATACATACATTACCTACATTACATACATTACATACATTACATACATTACATACATTACATACATTACATACATTACATACATTACATACATTACATACATTACATACATTACATACAATACATACATACATACATACATTACATAGATTACATACATTACATACATTACATACATTACATACATTACATACATACATACATACATACATACATACATACATACATACATACATACATACATACATACATACATACATACATACATACATACATACATACATACATACATACATACATACATTACCATACATACATTACCATACATACATTACCATACATACATTACCATACATACATTAACATACATACATTACCATACATACATAACCATACATACATAACCATACATACATAACCATACATACATAACCATACATACCATACATTACATACATTACATACATTACATACATACCATACATACCATACATACATACATACATACTTATACATACATACCATACATACACATACCCTACCCTACATACCCTACATACCCTACATACCCTACATACCATACATACATACATACATACCATACATACCATACATACCATACATACCATACATACATACATATTGAATTCTTAGTGTTTGATGGTTCATAAGTTTCATCCGTAGAAAGCTAATCCTTGATCACTTCTCTATTCTTTTGTCGATTACCGCCATCATCCCTTCTGTTACTCAAACTTAGGAATGCAACATTCATAAATTGCATCCATTTGCATCCGTTCACAGCCTATGTTACATGTTCCCATGAAACATGGGAATTCGCCATTGCTAGGTTTGATCATTTAAACACACCCAGATGGCGCTTATGTGTTCACATCTGGACAATCTATTGAGTTTAATCAACCAGTGACCAGTGGCCAGTGAGGTTGCCTTAATTTCCTCGAAACCATGTGGACCTCAAGAACCAATAGATTGTTCTAAATGCATCTAAATGCCCGTCCTTCTTGTTGCAATTCCCACAAAAGCTTGTCTTCTGTTCTTTCAATAGGCCATCCAAAAAGGAAACACAAAAAACACGAAATAAACGCCCACCAGAGGGCAAGGACTATGAATTGGCTTCATGAGCTATCCAACATCATGCAACTGTAGATACATAGTATTCATCAAAAATCCATCCGTTTGCCTAGTTCTGAAATAGTGTTCCTGTCATGAATCAGCCATTCATCCCCATTGTTCTTTGTCAAAATCCATTGTTTTTGTTCAATAACTGAAGTTGCTTGGTTGAATACCAGTTTTGCTTGGCACAATTCCAATGTTTATCCATTTTGGCACCTGCACGAAAATCTATCTGTTAGCCTAGTTAGAAAACCAACATTCCTATCACACATCCGCCATTAATCCAACTATATCGTTGGTCAAATCACAAAATGTGCTTGGTCAAAATCAAATTACTTGGTCACATCTTGGCTAATGTGGTATATTCAACAATAACCCATCCCGCACCTTCCCCATCGCTATGGGTGCGAAAAAAAAAACTATCATCCCCAAATGGTAGGTTTGTTATGTTTTTTCCTGGTTGACAAGTGTATTGACAACACGAACTTTCTCCGCCTCCTGAAGTTTGGTGGTGCTCCACTTTGGCGTCCGCAGTCGCGGAGGGTGGGCCTCGAAGAACAGCCTCAGTGTGTGTTCATAATGAGGCTCAATCAGAAATAGTTGATGTTCATTTGTAACAGTCAAAAAACACAAGAATATATATATATATAATTATCCAGAATGTTGTGATTGAAACAATTTTGTAGCACAGGTGATTGGATAGTTTTTAATCCCCGTATGTGCCATGGTCAAGAGATGGATTATACACCCATATTCTGTCTACTCCATGATGATTCTATATCCACAACACAGTTAAGTGAATCTGAGAAACCTGCCAAACAAATCTCAGTTTTAGCTGATTATTATTTACACTTTAGCATTGATAACAACATATAAAAGTACCCGAGTATCGCACCAGTCCGTTGACCAAAATACTCCCATATATCCCATTATATTCCATTATATGCCAATATATACATATATATATAATATTATTTCATCATCTATCTTAATAGGAGTGTCCATTATAAACCAACCCTATTGGGGATCCCCTATTTTAGGAAATCCCTATATCTGGGCAAATTATAATAGTGTACGAACCTGAAATGTTGGGCCATTTTGGGATGATTCCTCTTCTTAACCATGATTCCAGGCTTCGGGAGAGCAGTTAGGTCGTTATAATTTGCTCAGATGTACAATATGGTTGATTGTTTATTATTGTTGGCTATATATTGTTCCATTATACTATATACCATTGTCCCATAGTATGGTTGGTTTACACTTTCTGAGAAGGTACTATATATCACCCTCAATCAGAATATACATACCTATAAATTATCGGATATATATGAAGTACCATGGCTGGTAGTATACTACCATTATCGGATATATATAAATACATATATATATATATATATGAACCTCCCATAGTATGGTTAGTTTACACTTTCTGAGAGGTCGTTATAATTTGCTGAGATGTATAATATGGTTGATTGTTTATTATATATTGTTCCATTATACTACCATTATCAAATGATTATATATGAAGTACCATGGCTGGTAGTATAATACCATTATTGGATATATACTTATATATATATATATGAACCATTGTTTACATAACCTCGCTACCATTGGTATTGTTTAATATCGGTGAGGTCGTTATAATTTGCTGAGATGTATAATATGGTTGATTGTTTATTATATATTGTTCCATTATACTACCATTATCAAATGATTATATATGAAGTGCCATGGCTGGTAGTATAATACCATTATTGGATATATACGTATATATATATATATATATATGAATCATTGTTTACATAACCTCACTACCATTGGTATTGTTTAATATCGGTGAGGTCGTTATAATTTGCTGAGATGTAAAATATGGTTGATTGTTTATTTTTTATTGTTCCATTTTACTACCATTATCAAATAATTATATATGAAGTACCATGGCTGGTAGTATACTACCATTATTGGATATATATGAACAAATGATATGCTATATTAATATATATATATACTGGTTGGTGGTTTTTAACCATCTTGAAACATATTAGTCAATGGGAAGGATGACATCCCATATAGTATGGAAAAATCATCCAAATGTTCCAAACCCTCCCATAGGTGAGGCGAAATCTCCCACAGCATCGGATCGCCGCGGCGCTGCCGCGGCATCCGCCCGAACTCCTGCAGCTGCGTCTCCAAGACCTCCATGGGAAGACCGTAGGACTTCATGGCCTCCTGGTGGTCCCGGGGGCGCAGAAATAGTGGAAAAATGGTGGATTTCGAGATTTGAAGCTTGGAAAACTGGTAGATTTCTGGATTCCAAGCCTGAAACAATGAGATTTCACCAAGGGAACATGATGATTTAAGTGGATGAACGCATCCAATTTGTATTTAGAAATTCTACGGCTTTCAGGAATGAGATGTATGAAACCAGCAAGACCTTGTTTTTTGCGTCGTCTGAAAATGTGGTACAGCCCCAATGACAAAATTGAGCGTCAAATGATGTTCAAAAACTATCCAATCTGGGGGTAACCGTCTTTTGAAGACAAACCAATTTATATCCGCATAAAGTAAAGTAGGCTTGGGGTGTGCCTTTTTTAGAGGATCTGTCAAAAGACTGACGCCATGACGGGAATGGCATTTGTCAGTCCAATACATTTGACCCGTGCTATCCCGTGCTCATTTTCAGAGTTGTCATATGGAGTTTTCCTAAAATGGGGATACCTCCAAATCATCCATTTTAATGGGATTTTCCTTTGTAAACCATCCAGCTATTGGGGTACCCCCATTCATGGAAACCTCCATATATCGCCGTTCCAGATGGTATAGATCCATAATTCCAGAATTCGCATTTTGGCGTTATCACGTTAAGATATAGATCCATACTATATTTCATGTATATGTATATATATATACATTGTATATACGTACATATTATATATATAATAAATATAATATATATATATATATACTACTTACATATCGTTTCATATTGCTGGTTCAATTGCTAATTTAACATATCATATTGCTGGTTCTCTATATATACATTATGTATACCCTCTGGTAATTTTACATAGCTATAGAAAATACATGAAAATACCACATTTATAGTTGATTTACCTATTCAAAATGGTGATTTTCTATAGCTATGTTAGTTTACCAGAGGGTATATATATATACACACACACATAATTACCCTTGCATCTATACACTATCCCATGAGACACGAAAATCAGTGGAGTCTCCTCCGGGGAGCCCACAGAGCCCGCATAACAGACGGGATGGAAGACGTTGTCCGCTTTCACCTGGGGACCGTTTTTTTTTGGGGAGGTGAAAATAATTTATGGAACATATCGGGATTGGGAAATTATGGGTATTTAATGGGAAAAATATTGGAAAATATTGGAAAATATCGGGATTTCATGGGAAACTATAGGGATTTCATGGGAAACTATAAGGATTTAATGGGAAAATATGGGGAATTAATTCACGGGAAAATATTGGGATTTCATGGGAAAATATTGGGAATTCATGGGCTTCAATGGGAAATTATGGGGATGAGAAATTATGGATGATTTATGGATAATCAGGATGATTCTTGTGGATTATTATTGGCGATGGTTTGGTAAATTCGTTGATTTTTGAGTGACTTTGATGACCGCTCATAAACAAATTGGAATTCATGAATTCTTACAATTGAGTGATTGTTGTTTGGATTAGAATTGATCATCAGAAATTGGGATGAAATATGAGGATTAACACGTGAAAAAAAAGTATGTGCGGGATGATTTATGTGGTGACTACGGGACTACTGATGATTTATGGATGATTCATGCGGACTTCATGTATAGAACCAACATATAAAAGTCAACTGCAATCTCCCTCGCAAATGCCTAGGTCAATTGACTCAGCACAAATGGTTTTATCATTATGTTTTATCACAAAGGATATCTTAGAAATAAAGAAACCAAACAAATCAACCAACCAAAACTGCGAATGTAACTGACTGTAGAGAAAGAAAGTTGTGGTAGGTCTGGAAAGCCTAGCGGGTTGGTGTTGTCAGGCAAAAAAAAGGGCGCACCGTCTGAATATACTGGGGATTCTGTATAATATATATATATATTTATATTTATAATATAATATAAATAGGTGATATAAATATATATATATATAACATAGAATTATATGTCTAATAGAGTACAACATTATACTTATAATACTATTATTATACATGATATATGATATAAATCCCGTATTATCATATCTGTATAACTAACCTACAATATGAATATATTTCCAGCACAGATCTTCAAGAATCCTCCAAGGTCCAAGTCACGGCGGCTTCGCCCGATTGTTTGAAACCGAAGATGAGGTCGATCCAGGAAGGCAACATCTGCGAGACGTGCTCACTCTCCAACCTAAAAACCATGCGGGAAAGTGGTACCCCAATCTGGATGTGGATCCAATGAATGTTTATGATTTATGATCCCAAATGCGAACCATGGTGCTGGAATATGCGCACCAACATTTGCCCGAACAAAAACATCCACTTTGGAAAGTTTTTATATACCAGCACCGTGGAGCAAAAAAGAGGATGGAAAATACTGAAAGATATGCCAGTCATCACGGGATCATCCAAGCAATCATGATGTTTATGGAGGCCCCAAGCACGAGATTGGCTTGCAATCCAACTTGTCACTTGAAATGAGAAAAAGGACAACTAAAAAGACAACTTATATGAATTAGATGTGTCTTTTTTCTCCTGGGTTGCCATATGGAAGTATAAATCGTCTTGGGGTTTTGACTTCAGGTTTACTTCCAGTTCTTTGATTGGAACGTTTGTGGACTTTGTCAAAGCTGACACTAACTATTGTTAACTATCATTAACTACCATTAAACATTACATAGGAGGAATTATTTACATTATATAACATCAGATTTTTATTCTATATGCAGGTGGTTAACCCTGACCCACCTCCAGGGTGGATTATCCCAAGAGGAAAAAAATCATCGTGAACTCCGATGGAATCACGAATGACGTTGACCTTTTCTGCTTGGTGCTGCAATGGAAAACATACAAAAAAGCTATGGAAAATGGCCATTTATAGTGAGTTTTCCCATTAAAAAATGTGATTTTCCATAGTTATGTGAGTTTACCAGCTTGAAAAATGATGGAGTTAATGGGAAGGATGACATCTCATATATGAAATGGAAAATAAAATTCATGTTTGAAACCACCAACCAGTTTTGTTTTAGCCAACAGCTTCTTGAAGGTGCCAACTGCCTGGAAGCATGGACTCTGTAAGGTCCATCGAGATGGATGAAATCCAGAAATTGTTGGAGCACTGAAGCCGGAGTAGCCAGTGCTTCAAGACACCAAGCTGACGATGATGTCCCCTCATTTGCCACTATTGACTATTAATTGACCATTATAAATGTCAAAAGAGAACTAGCTGATAATAAGGTGACATGGTTCAATTTTAAGCATCAATATATGGCCCGAAACCCAGCAAAGCCCAGCAACGCAGCCCGCAGCTTGCAGATGAAGTCCGTCACGCTGCTGGCCTTGTGGGAATGGCGGCTATGAGCCATTATACCCAGTTGTAAGGACTTACTATATAATATACTAACCACATAACTTGACTGAACATTACAGTGTGGTACCCCCACTTTGGATTTACTCAGTTGGTCTATGTTGTTTTTTTCCTTGCTGGGTGAAGTGTTGGGTTCACAGATATATCAAACCAATCAATGGGGGTTATGCTGTATTTGATCCATCCATATGTGGAGGGTCAAGAGTGCTGAGCGAAACCCGTGGTTCAAAGCATTGAATGTCATTGGCCAACGGGTGTCGGAGCAGGTAACAATAAAATGAAATATATATAATATATATATATATATACATTCATGTGTATATATATATATGTATATATATATGATATATATTATATATGTATATACACGTATAAACACTAGTTTCGATAGATTCGCTAGTGGATATTGTCATCCATTCAGAAGCCTCATGTCAGGTCTTGAAGCTGTCCTACCCGAACAAAACAATCCATGCTTCCAATCAACCTGAAGTCCACAGAAATCCGCAAGCATCCAGGGCATCCAGTGCATCACTGCGGGATTTTCCAGCAATCAAACCTGGAGCATAACATGGTTATTGCATATTCTTACCCGCTCACGATGCAATAATCAGCAGTTACCAAATCCCTTCACTTTTCTTCGTTCCAACTTTTGACAGCAAAATCCAATAAAATCCACATGTTTTCATGGTTAAATCAGTTGAATCCAAGTTTTCATGGTGAATTTCCCCCTATCCACAGTTTTTTTATGGTGAAATCCCCCATGTTTTCATGGTTAAATCATGTTAAATCCCTATTTTCATCGATTTTCTTCGTTTAATCAGTGAAATCCCCCACGGTTTTCTTCGTGAACTCTCCCAGCTTCTGCGTCTAACGCTGTGCCACGGCGCCCAACGCGGAAGTTCCACATCGCCCAAAGGCCGTTCCGGCGTGACGATGTGGAGGGAATTCTCCAGCCTTGCTGCGATTTGGCACGAAACGCACGTTTTGCCATCGGAAAAAATCCCCTATGGATCCAAGTACCTTCTTAGGAAGTGGGACTGGGGTATAATTTACTATAATTTGGAGGGTTAAGTACCTTCTCAGACCGTGTTTAGATCCATAGGGAGATGTTTTAACTGTTGAAAAAGCAAGAGAAATGGCCGATTTCATGGGATCTATAGCTGAACTAAGTTGGTTTATTTCACTGGGGGAAATCTATCGGGTTTTGGTATATAGCCAGCTAGTTAATGGGATTTATAAGCCAACACACATAACTATAGGGGGCAGCACATTGTAGCTGTATGGCAATGGTTTCTTCTGGTTTCAAATGGAATAGGTCAACTCATGAGAATCGAAGGGACCCTTTTTCTGTGGCTTCTTTGTTTTGAAACAGGGATGCAACCAGATTTGTTCAAAGGCAATCGCGCCGGGGTTCCTTCGTTACTCAGTCCTTGGTAAAGTCCTCATTTTGCTCGAATGTCATCAAATCTATAGGGGATACCCCATTGCCATTTCCCGCACCCAAACAAACATCTGAATAACACGGTGATTGATGGGCTTTGAGTTCTAACAAATCTTCGCGGAGGTGTGTGGAAGTCTGTGGTGTCACGATTTTGTGTGCTTTGGAAACGAAGAGAGGAGCCCTGACTGGTCAGCATGTAGAGGACGCAGTTCACCGTGAGGTCTCCACGAGACATGCCAATCGAGTAACATGAATAGGAAGTATGACCAACAACAGCCAGACTAGCAAAGTATTGGTGGTTTCAGCACCAGTTTCTATCTTATCATTCCACGAATAGGGAATATGAATGCAAGATGTCCCATATGCGAACCATGGTGCTGGTATATAAAAACCTACAAAACTGGGTGATTTTGGGCAAGGGCAAATGTTGGGATTCATATTCCAGCACCATGCAACATTTGGGTACCCTCTGGTAATTTAACATAGCAATGGAAAATCACCATTTTTAATGGGAAAATCCACTATAAATGGTCATTTTCAATAGCTATGTTAGTTTACCAGAGGGTGTGTTGTTTTTTGTATTTGTTGGTTTCTCAAGTTTCGAATCAGTTTGTCAGGTGCCGGTCCAGAGGATTCCCCCCTTTGATGTTTTTTCAAAAAACTGTGGCCAGCCAAACCTTCGTGTGAGTCGTTTCAAAGACCTCCAACAAGACATGGGGATGGGTGAAAACCATTTCGAAACCTATGAAATTACCATATGACTGGGGGAACAACCGTGAACAACCAACCATATACCATAAACCAGCTATTTTTGGGTGCCTATACCAGTACCATGGTTTTGACTCATAGCCACATAATCCGGGTAATCAGTTCCAACTATATAATATAATATGTTAAAATACGATATAATATCATATAATCCACAAACAAGACATCTCTTGCAATTATTGAACCAACAAAATAAACAAACAGGTTACACAACCTTTAAAAAACGGTGTGGGTCGGTTGGCTGGTTGAATCATCATAAATGGGTTCCACTTTTAGATTTCAGTTTATCGACCAGCAAATGAGCCCAGCCATGCCAGTAGATTCCCCAGTCCTGGTGCTCATTTTGCCAATTAATTTGCTGAAAATAGCTGATTGACTTGGATTTGGGTAATCTACTGGGTATGACTTGGATTTGTCAATTTGCTGTACCACGAGTATGTTCCTATGGCTTCCTGATGGTACGACAGTCATGATTCATTTTCAGCTCCGCAAACGGACGATAAACTGCTTACGTGCAGTGATCCCTCAAAGGGTTCCCCCTAAGTTCCCTTCAGCAAAGCGGGCCCTCAAAATGAATGTCAGGGAATGTCAGGGATAAACAATTAATAGCCATGGTATATTGTACCTACTATAGTTGGTTATTCCCTGCTATATTGTTGGTTGTATATTCCATTACACTGGAACTTCCTTAGCAACCACATGTCTGCCGGAAATGGTCTTCCAGTTTCCTTGCAAGCAGCCACTGTGCAGGCAACACGAAGAACTCTGGAATCAGTTCCATTAAAGATGTGGTACTCTCCTTAGGTCTCCACATGTTTGCAGAGAGCTGTGTTGCAAAGAATCCCCTTGCAGTGTCAGAATGCTTGGGGCAGGTTGTTTCAACCTTTCTTCATTTTTGTTTCAATAGCAACGGATAATGTTGCCATGGAAAATCTTTTCAAAGATACATCAGAATGTCAGGCAATTCACAAATTTGGGAAACCATCAAAAACATTTCCTCCGCCATGTTCCACAGATGAACCTCCTGGTTTAACCTAATTCTACATGCTTATTATCTCGCTGAAACCATTATGTTTGCGGGTGAAATCCCAATTTGTCATAGTTCTTAATGCTCCGAATTCACGTTTTTTCACCAAACGGTTCAACTTAAGTTCAACCATCAGAAACCAGCATGTTTTCCCCCATGAATCCAACGTTTTAATACGTTTTTCCTATGTTTTCCTGGCCATGTTCTCCACTTTTTCCCCCGAAATCTTCCCGTTTCGCCACGGCGTCGTTGACGGAGCTCCAGGCTTCTTGGACGCTGCGAAAGAGCCGCGCCCAGGCGTCGAAGTGGCCGTTGTGCAGACGGAGCATTCCTGACATCGGCCACGGCAAGGGGAGATCTACCCTCTGGAAATTTAACATAGGAAAGTGGTGATTTAATGGTTATTAGTGGTTTAACAATGGGTTAACAATGGTGAATAATGGGATGATATGGGATTTACCCTCTGGTAATTTAACACTTTGCGACATAGAACATGGCCATAGAAATAGTGGATTTTCCCCGCTAGAAAATGATGGATTTTTCCATAGTTACGTTAGTTTACCAGAGGGTATGGGGAAATGATATGAAATGATATCTATTAGGTATGGTAGATAGGACGTATTTGATCATAGGACCTAATATGGGAGTTATATGGGATTTACCCTCTGGTAAATTAACATAGACCCTGAAAATAACCTAGTTTTAATGGAAACTAATTTTGCAACCCCTATCTGCCAGGGTCTATGTTAATTTACCAGAGGGTAATATGGTAGATAGGACCGATTTGATCATAAGACCTAATATGGTAATATGATATCTATTAAGATGTAGGACCTATGATACCTATCTGATAGGTGATATATTTATCCATCCCCATAGTGAATATATCTGGGGATATATCTGGTGATGATATATCTGGTGAATAATGGTATATACCCTCCGGTAATTTAACATAGCTATTGAAAATTGCCATGTATAGTTGATTTACCCGTTAATAATGGTTATTTTCTATAGCTACGTTAGTTTACCAGAGGGTATCTATTTATAAATATGTACTAAGTTGCTATATATCTAAAATATTGGGATATCCCCCTGGTGGGATGAATCGTGATGATAATCTTGTTTTTGGTGGTAAAATGGTGAATAATAATACCATTCATAGTGATGTAATATTGATGGTAGTGTCATATGATATGATATGATACGATATGATATTATATGAAATGATATATTCACACTAGTTTTGAATATATAATGATGAATAATGGTGAATGATATAGTATTTACTTAAATATCCGTATGTATGAGAAGCGTCCTCTGGACAGCCCCGGGCCCACGGGCTGGGCCTACGGGCCCGGGCCCTTGGCCTCTACGGGCCTCTACGGGCCCGCCTAGACCTACGGGCCTAGGCGGATTTCCGGGTCTGCGGAGGGTTGACCACCATACACACTAAGGACAAAGGAGAGGGGGTGCTCCTGCGGCTCCATTGCTGCATGCCAACAATGACGCTTGCAGCGCCATGCCATAAGGCCATGGGTGAGCCGAAGCCCGGGCAGCCAGCCGCCCAACCTGCTCTGCCCCTTCAACACCGAACATGTGATGGCCAACAAAGTTTGCATCTACATGGTCCGACACTGGACGCAATCCAGCTTTCACAATGTCGGACGCCATGGCCTTGCGCCGTGTCCACCCTAACCTTTGCTTGGGCCTGATTCACAGCCATGCACCGCTGCACTCAAATTAAGAGATCGTTCCGCGATGGCACACACTCACATGGGGCCTGGATGCGGCCGCCTTCCCCTCCACACTCAGTACAGGCCTCGGCTGGGTTTTCCAAAACTACGTCAGCCATGTCGGTCACAGAAGACGACGAGCAACTCAACTCGATTGAGGTATGCGTGTCTTTTTTTGGCCTATCTACCTCACAAAATCTGGCATCGGTCATTCGCGTCTGTAGTGCTAAAGAAAGGGTCCAAAAGGTACTGAGAAACGCTTCCATTAAAAAACATTACACCTTTGCATGCGTGTGATGCTTCTGAATCTGTCCTCACCACATAATGTTCACTAACACCATCATGAACCATGTGAGCTTGAAGGCGCGGCGAGGACATTCAGTGGCGTACAGTCACATTCCAACACCAGTTTAGGCTGAAACAAAAAAAACCTATGTCTCAAAATGGGCTCCTGATTTCGAAAGTGCTTCCACCACAACAATCTCTATTGCCGGGAACCGGTAATAGTACATTCCCTCGGATTTCATACACTCTTGCTTTGGAAACAAGACTTAGAAACAAGAACAAGACTTTCCAGTTCAATTGCAAGGTACCTTCAAAAGGATCAGTACTTCAGCACAAGGCGGTAGCGGAAGTTTCAACGAAAGCTTGGCGTGTTGAATCGAACAGGTTGTCGCAGACCACGTCGCTGACAGGGCGACAGATCGTTGGAGCGTCGATGTTTGACTATACATCATCATGGCAGGCAAGGGGTCCGCCCAGCTATTTGTTTATCTGCCCGGTTAATCTGCCTGATCATTCAACGTATTCAAGTCAATGGTAACTAGCTGTCAACTCATTTCAATCAGCTGTCAATGCTGAAGGTAAAAGCTCCACGGAAAACAAGTTTCAAGTCACCGGGCCAAAGCTTTGCAGCAACAAAAGCAAAGCAAAACTGCACAAGGGCAACGCTTTGCAGCACAAAGTTGCAAGCCACAGGAGCCACAGGGACAGAGAATAAACACCTGGAGTTATACATACAAACTATTATTCAAAGCTTTGATGTGTATGGTGGAGCAAAGCTTTGTCCTTGTCTATATATGGCATGCAACCGTTTTGCTGATATTTGTTGCCACTGCGGCTTGCAAATTGGTGCTGCAAATCTTTGCCCCTGTGGATCACAACCTACGGGCCTACGGGCCTACGGGCCGGGCCCTTGGCTTACGGGCCCGCCTACAGGCCTACGGGCCCGGGCCCTTGGCTTACGATACGGGCTCTACAGGCCCACGGGCTTACGGGCCTTACGGGCCCACGGGCCGGGCCTACGGGCCTACGGGCCCGGACCTGGGGCTTCCCAGGGGTCAATGGCCGTGTATATATATATATATATCACGATATCATTGGTGGGGGGATATAGATTTTATGGAATTTCACCAACAATGTACTGATAGGAATGATGCCTCAACATGGTCATGATTTGACATCTGGCCGGGGGTTTATGTAATGTGGGGTGCTTTGAATGTAACCGTAGATCGTCCTTCTATGATATCTATCTGATATGTTTTTACATCCAATGATTTGGGCGTTTTGATATGGTTTAATGTAAATAATAACCCTAGATCTATGATGTTTAATGGGACATAGTGGTGTAGTGTGGTGTATATGTATATATCGTAGATACATGTCATGTAATCACCAATCCCATAACCATCCAACGTAACAACCTATTATACAATCTATTTGTGGAATCATCTAACCAATCCCATGGACAGGTAACTACCTATGAGTCCAATATGGTTTAATAGCATATGTTACCCCAGGGAAAGAGACTCAGGTATTAAACTACAAGTTAGTTCACTTATGTGTATATATATATTATTAATTATTATTATTGTTATTATTATTACCATTATTATTATTATTATCATTTGGTTATCATTATTATTTATACACACACACATACTGTACCACCCCTATCAATACATACATTATACTTATTTTGCTCTTTGGTGGAGTTTTCTGTTTTTGGTTCAAAAAAGCCCTGCAACCTCCAAAAAGAGTTCCCACGAAACTTTCGGTGCCACGGAGCTCTCAGGCATTGATCGCAAGAGCCAGTAGATGACGTACCTCCGCGGCTGTAAAACAAGGAGACGCACATTTCTTCCGGGCGTCGTTGAGTCATAGTCATAGTAATACCCATTGCATGTCATAGTATTAAGCCATCCTATTTATTTCTATTTTGTGGGGGCTACCCCCCAAACATTTGACCTATACCAATATTGCCAATCTCATATAAACACATATAAGATCCAACTTAATGGCCAGGAGCCCTGATTGCTTTGTGTCCGCCACACTTCTTCATTCCGCCGGCGGAAATATCGGAAATCACAGCAACAAAAAAACATCAAACATGGAATTAAGATGAGTTACCCTCCAGTAAATTAACAGTTCGACCCTGCCAGTCATCGGGGTTGGCAGATTAGTTTCCATTAAAAATTGGTGATTTTCAGGGTCCAACTGTTTATTTACCAGGGGGTAAATCCCATATAAATCCCATATAAATCCCATAAAAATGGAATTAAGATGAGTTAAGCTACAGCAAGAACCAAATGTCCTATTTTGGAATTATTTTATTGAATTTCCAGTGATCTGCAAAATCATAAGAATCCCCGGGATCCGAAGGGCAAAATGGCCAGCATGGGTCACGCTGGCGTGGAATAGTGAGTGCCATAAAGGAAGCGCTCCTGGTGGCAGAAGATACAATTTGGAGAATTGGTTCTGTTGGTATCTTATTTGATGGTGGAGACCCTAGTTGTTTGATGATCAAACCATGATTCTCATGTAAATGTTCACGCAAATCCTATTCTCCGATGTGTCAATGCAGCAAATGCAAGTGCTCTATCAGCACTATCTGAACCTACGGATCTCAGGGACACAACTCTTGAGGATTTTGCAGGTCTCACCACGGACGACAAAAAAAGGGCTGAACAGCTGTTGGTCACCTCGTTGAGCTCACCATTCTCCCTTGCTACGTTGAGCAGGCACAAAATTTCCGTCTGCCATGCTTTCCCAATGAGTGCAAATGGCGAAAGTATGCCCAATCAACTGCTTCGTATCATGTACCATAAACCATAGTTATTGGAGTTATGTTCACCAAGTTAGCTATCTTGGGGGCCCACATTGTAAAAGGTGGCAATTTTCCTCCACCATTTCGATGCCCATTTTCATACCCTCCATGAAATCCACCAATTCGCAGGGCGCGCAGGCTTTGGATTGGCTAGGCTTGACCCCCGAATTACTGAGAGAATCCGACTATCAGGTATTACATAGCAACAAAAATAAACATCAACAATTCGCCTCCAGTAAACTGACTATAGATGTGGAATGATGTGGCTTTTCCCCACATCATTTAAATCATAATTGTCATTTTCCTTTCCCGGCTAAACCCCGGTTTCCCCATGGGCTTTTCCATCTCTCTATGGTTTTTTCCCCCCGACCGAAGGATGGCTCCTGATTCTCCGGCATCCCGGCCATGCGCTCCCGGAAATAGGTCAGCCGCTTCTCCGACAAGGCACCCACCGGCTTGGACAGGTCGCGAAAGCTGCGGGGCTCCTGGACCCGAAATGGGAAACCTTTACAAACAACGGATGGGAAAATCACCATTCATATCCATTCATGGGTAAATCCACTATAAATCACCATTTTCAATAGCTATGTTTGTTGACCAGAGGGTAGTTCCACCGAGGTAGTTATCAGGATTTCGCAACTTAAAAAATGCTTGATTTGACCGACCAGAAATCGGATCTCACCAAGAAACATCGATAGTAGGGATTTGTGCTTTAGCACCTTTAGCCGTGATAGATTGTGTAAAACTGTTAAGCAACAAACAACACGGAAATTGCTTACCAGCGAAACAATATGGTATGTACAACGAGACGGTTTTGAGGTTTGCCACCAACGTTGACACATAGTTCAACTTAGTTCAACCAGCAGGAGGTTTGCCATGGAAGCGGTGACCGAGTTGGATAAACCTGACTTGGCCCGGAGGGGCAGTCCTCCAAGTTGAGGTAGGGACTGGTGTAGTCTGCAATGACCCATGGGAAGACCGGGTACTGAGAGAAGTCATTCCTGGCGAGGGAAAATGTGGGATTCATAGAGGATCTGCTGCTTAAACAATTAAACACAGATCAAATAAACTATATAGTCATTTTTGGTTAAACACAGTTGAACAACAACAGTCCTCTTAATGTGGTAAACCCAGCAATAAATGTACTAATTTGGGGATGGTTGAAGTCCCACCATGGTCATGTTGGGGACGGTTTATGGCATTGGGTCTACTGAGTCTACTGCTTTCTGGCAACCCAATTTGATCAATTTGACTGGGAATTCCACATTTTTGGAATAGGTGAGTCATGTACAAATGGATACACATGAATCTGGGTAAATTATAGTAATTCACTGACCTGAATAGTTTGGCCATGAATGGGGATGATTTCTCTAAAATAAACCATGATAAACCAGGGTTCGGGAGAACAGTGAGGTCGTGATTAAATTTACCCAGATGAATGACCTTCTGCTGGGGGTACCTGATCCTTCAACAATCCTATGGGATCAACCTGCTGGAATCGACGAAACACGAACCCGGCTGCCTTGCAAGGACCATGACTCACCCCCCGAGTCAAGCCCAGCAGTAGATCTTTTTTGCATCATTTGTTGCCACCTTTCCGGAGTAATCATTCATTGAATTCATCCCCTGCCTGGAGCGACCCGCGGCGCAATTCAGAAAGTCCAAGTAGTGGAAGTTGGAACACGCGCCCGATTGCCACAGGGCCGTCCTCGGAAAAATCAGCCCATTTCAGCCCATTGGGGATGAGCCCAGACCCGTATCCAATGCATAAGCGCCATCGTAGTCATAAACAGGGTCATCCTTAAATGGTATAAACATGTATAAACATGTATAAACATCATCCCATCAGCCTTAATTGAGAATGGCTTATTGGCTTGGTATAAACATCATCCCATCAACGGTGTTATTCATTAAAAAAACATCATTATTCAATATTCATGGTTTCCATAGTTTCCATCATTTGGATGTACACCCATATAATACAGTATTCATGGCATAAGTCATCCTTATTGGGCTTACTTCATCTGGTGATGGGATCAACTTTTAAACTTTTGGATTTCACCAAGGAAGCATTTCACAGGAGAAATGAGAGCCTTGGTGGGAACGTGTAAATCAAAAACAGTGGGCATATATTGTTTTAAACAGTTTTAAACTGGTTCTATCTATTTTGTGAGAGATTGTGTACACATGAAAAATGGTTCGGAAACATGAATTGTTGCTTTCTTTTTCATGACGCTTAGACTTCTCCCCAAAACACATCAAAGATATCAAAGGAATTGGATAGACCAGTTGCCTAATTGTGCAGGTTTACTTCTCCCCAAATACTTCACTTCACGACTGACTGGGCACTCCAAAACATGGGTCAAGATGAGAGTTCCGTTCGGAACATTCGCTATTGGCCATGGTCAGCCTTATCTTGATCAGCTACGGGTAAATGACTCAGCCACGCACACAGATCCAACTCATCGGCGCACACAGCCAAAACTCAGCCACGCATACAGATCCAACTCAGCCACGCACACAGATCTAACTCAGCCACACACACAGATCTAACTCCGTCACGCGCACAGATACAAATCATCTGCGCACACAAAACGGACTCAGCCATACACACACACACACATAGGCCTGAGCCACACACTAGCCAGTAAGACACCCTGCAGCATTGCGCCCTGCACTGCACCTTCATCGCCTGTCATCTGCCCATGTGCACCCTGAATTAGTCTTGGGCAGGGGCGGGCGGGGGACAAAAGCGTTCATGCTCCTCTGCACACACAAAAGCACTGCACCTTGATCGCCTGTCATCTGAAGCAATAGTCTTGGGCAGGGGCGGGGGGGGGACACAAAAGCGTTCATGTTCCTCTGCACACACACACACACACAAAAGCACTGCACCTTGAGCGCCTGTCATCTGAAGGAATAGTCTTGGGCAGGGGGGGGGGACAAAAGCGTTCATGTTCCTCTGCACACACAAAAGCACTGCACCTTGGTCGCCTGTCATCTGTCATCTGTCTTGGGCAGGGGCGGTGGGGGGTCCAGGACCATGAGAAAAGTCCAGGACCATGGTCGCGGAGTCAAAGAAATCCTTGCTTGCCGCTCTGATACCCTTGTGTTGATCACTATGGAATTGGTCCACCAGACGTCGAGCATCTTGTACCCCAAGGCACACTTCCATGGCCCGCTCCCATGCTGCAAACACACGGAGACAACACTCTTTCTTCTCCGAATTCACCACAGCTATGATGCACTCATTCAATCTAGTGGTGAAAATGTCACGCGCAGCGCACTTCCATTCGGGACCCTTGGTGAGAAGGCCAAGCGAGAAGAGGGCATAGCCCTCTCTCACTACTCGATAGCACCCATCAACGGCAATTCGCAAGTGGCTCTTGTTCGTCATCTGTGCCCACATCGAACCTGACCACAAACGTATCAAAGAGTTACTCAAAACAACCCGGACGGCGCATGTATCCCTAAGAAATTGGGAATTTGAACTCTGCGAATGAGGATATTTCACCACTAAGGAAGCGGAATGTAAACCCCACATTTCGAAGCATGTTATCGCTACGGAAGAGGTATTACTTGTGGTACTTTATGAACAACAATTAGGCTTTTATAACAACATGTACGACAAAATAAGAAACAATGGTGGTATGTCTCTAAAACATGGAGAATTTCAAACTTATGGGTGATATCCACAGTAAGCAGTCTACAGCGTCTATTATCTCGGCAACAGACTCCAAACAGTGTGGGGGAGCAAAGGGATAGTGCGCTAGAAGTGTCATGATAATGGTGAGGTTCATGACGATGATGAGGCGGATGAGGATGAGAATGATGATGATGATGATGATGATAATGATGCATGCATGCACTCAAGATCATCTGCTCATATTGTAATTGTAACACACTGCAAACATGTCCTCATCGAAGCTATGGCCAAAACATTGTCTTGTCGCGTGTATGGCTGAGATACACTTCGCGTGTATGGCTGAGTTGAGTTCGCGTGTATGGCTGAGTTGATTTCGCGTGTACAGCCGAGTCAGATTCCGCGTGTATGGCTGAGTCCAATTTCGCGTGTACGGCTGAGTCACTAACCATCAGCTACCCAAGTTTGCCTTGCAGTTTCTGATGTTGCTATTCGCTTTTGCTATCTTTTGCTGATATTCTTTTGCTATCTTTTGCTGATATTCTCGAGTTTGGTAAACCCTGGGGGTTGAACAAGAAGGAAACAGAATTCTCACAAAAATCCACTATGTCGGACTGAACAATCCAACCATCCACTTATAACTGGTTGGTGGTTTGAACCCCTCTGAAAAATATGAACGTCAGTTGGGATGATTAGTCCCAATATATGGAACAAAACAACGTTCCAAACCACCAATCAGATGATGATATAGCATCCCTTTCCAACTATTATATAACTAAGCTATTCATACAGTCCCGAGAAGCAGAAGAATACCCACCGGCCGAACGAGGCTCATCTTCCGCACATTTTGCAGAATGCCTTCAGCATCATCCAGTAGTGACCTGCCAGCGATGGGAAAAACAATGGGAGAAACAGAAAGAAAAGCAGGTGACAATTGTTGACACAACATATGGGGGTTTCCATAAATGGGGGTACCCCAAAATGATAAAATGGTTGGTTTATAAGGGAAAATCTTATAAAAATAATTGAACATGGATGATTTGGGGGTACCCCTATTTTAGGAAACCTCTATATGTTTACTTTAAACATTGAGAAACACATGGCCCAACGTTCCTGTTCACATGAGGTCATCACATGTTTCAATGCTCAGGGCTCACAACTCCGCTCCTTTTGGATAGAGCCACACTCAACCCATAGCAGTTTACTTTTCTATAAACTTACTGGTGCTAAATGTAGGGAATGGATGGGTTGCTGGGGGTTGCTGGGATGATTATTGATAATGATTGTGGATCATTCCCTCATTCCCTGCTAAGCACCAGTAAGTAGCAGTTTACTTTTCTATAAATGGGTTTGTATGAAAATAGTGTACCATGTGTACCAAAAAAAACATTGGATTATCATAATTTTCCCTATTCAATGGCTACAATTGGGGGTATACCATGGCATACACATCCTCTCCAGACCCCAAAATCTCTTTCATGGCTGATCGCCCATGGTTTTTGCTGGAGAAACTAGGCTACCGTGATATTTTCCCGACAAAACATTGTTTGGGAGATTTTTTGGATACTTTTTGGTGAACATTGGTAAATCCATCCTCGAAGAGGTTTTCGAACTACCATACGCCGGCTATGGGGATAATTACCCGCAATCTAACCATCATTCCAGTATATATTTCCAGTGACGGAAAATGAAATGAGGTCATGATCAAATTTATCTAGGCATATCTAGATGGATGTCTACACTACATCAATTTACTTCGATGGTTGTTTCCCATGAGCAACCTCCATGGTAGGACTTTCCCAGCGAATCTCTGGCCTCGAAGAAGGGCTGGCAACTTTGGCCACACGCTGCTCTTGTAGCAGTTCTTCTACCTGGTCACACTGATGATGCGCCTGCGATCTGGCAAGGGACGGTCCTAAGGGAGTCCCCGGTGACAAGTTGTGGTTTGTAAGTTTCATTCAGATTCAGTAAGTAGAAGTAGATTCAGATATCTAGCATACACTCTACTTGACCTACTTGCATCTAGTTACAAAGCAAATTTTAGCTCATTTTTTTTCAGGCACCAACTGGCAGAAAAAAGGTGCATTTCACCAAGCAAAATGTGGTTTTAGGCAACCGATGGATCGATTCCAGGAAACATAAGCTATAGCAAATGGAGGGCTGAAGCAGTTCAGTTGTATCACATTTCTACGACATTCTATGACCAACTACCCTCTAGTAAATTAACGGTTTGCTATAAACAAAATCCACCATTTTCAATAGGTAAGATATGGTGAAATCACCATAAATCATCCTATGAATGGGCTACTTTCCATAGCTATGTTAAAGAACTAGATGGTACATAAAGGGATAAGAGGGTAAACTCCCTCCGAGTCACTACAACAATAGGACAGTAGCTGGGATGGTTCCCAGTTCCCATTCCATCCATGGGTTCATCATTTCTGGTTGGTGGTTGACCGGCCCCCCTCTGAAAAACCACGGAGTGAACGTCAGTTGGGATGATGACATTCCCAATATATGGAACAATAATCCAAACGTTCCAAACCACCAAGCAGTATATATATATATCCCATTGAGTTGATAGTATAATACCCTATACCCTCTGGTAATTTGTTACATAACCAGATTTTGCTGTGTCCAGTCATTAGTGTCACACCTCGAAGCAAAGGTAGAGACAGCCCCCGTGGACCGTGATGATTTCCAATGCTTTGGCCTGAGCCACAGCTCAGCTCAAACATCATACCACGTGCACGTCTTTCTTAACGAGATACCTGGCATTACCCATGACGGATCCATGGTGCTGGTATATATGCTAACATGACTGGGGTATATTGATGGGATCCATGTTACCATATATAGCATACATGGAGCCTATGGGTTATGTTTGGCCGAATGGTGTTTCTACTCCACATCAAATCTGGATGAAATTCCTCTAGATCTAAGTACCATCTGAGAATTTGGAACACATTTAGTGAGGTCAAGTACTTTTGGAGGTATCTTGAGTCACAGGGTTTAATGGCCACGATCAACAAACACCGACAAACTTTGAATCCAACAGGCGCTAGGCGGACTCATCCAGGTTTGTACATAACATATACATGCATATACGCGCGATGATATATAATTATATTATCTTACTTTCTTTCAATGTAACTATTCATTACATGCATAATATATCAATCAATTCATGGCTCGATCTAAATCTAAATATCTACATTGATTATCTATGTGTATTTCTAAATAATATTATACAATAAAATGTGAGGCCCCCGTTCGATAGCTAAGTTGGTGCACATAACTCCAATTTCACTATGGTTTATGGTACGCAAATAACGAACTAGTTACTGGGGCTTATAATAAACCAACTTATAACTGGGGGGCCTCACATTGTAGGGATAATTTACACTGCTATTCCTGCTATTGTTGGTAATATTACAATATATTACATAATACTATTGTTTGATATTTGTTTCGTACGTTCGTACAGTATCCTCAACGTTCGCCCCACGGAGCCTGGACGCCATAGACACGCCGAAAGACATGGAGCACGTCGCTCAAGGGCACCTACGTTAGGAGATGGGCCAGCCAAACGGGTTGCTTAAGGGATTATATACCATGTTTATGGTTTATGGTACCCAAATGGAGGTTTTAATGGGAAAACCATAGGAAAACCATAGGAAAATGGAGGTTTACCCGGCCTGGTAAACATACAAAAAACAATGGAAAGATCCACCATGCGATTTTCATGGGAAAACTCACTATAAATTTTAAATGGTGCTATATATGCTAACATGACTTGGGTTTTTGTTGATGGGATCCATGGCACACCATATATGGCAGCACCATGGATCCTATGGGTTATATACCATTTTTTATGCCATATAAATCCATATAACTCATATAACCCGATGAATTTGCGGGAAAATAATTTTGAATATATGAGAGAAATTATATGTGAGCTGTGTGAAAAAACTTGTTTCATGTTCCGGTAGAAATCCAAGCTTATGTAGGAGCTTACGTAGGAGCTTACGTTCGCCTTGGTTTTCGAAGTGTTTGCTTAGCAAAACAAAGAATGGAGTGACGCATCTCCAGTTTTTTTTCATGCGTTGCCGCCTTCAAAATCTGATGGTACAATAAATGGTTCTTTTCCTTTTAGGGGGTTGTGATCCTATAATTAAGAAAGTAGTCTATTCTATATTCTCATGTTGAAATTGCGCAATTGTTGGACTACACACTGAAATAGCCTCGACCCATTACCCGACACATTTAGCCTCGCCCGGCACCTGCTTCACTGGTTCTGAGGAGAAGTTGGGATGCGGCTGAAAGTAGATGGCTTCGTTGGATAGCTGCAACAAGCCCCTGGCTGGGAAATCCCACATTTTCAGTGGGGAAACATGTCGAAAACTCGTAGGAAAATACCGGGAACCATGGGAAAATCCCCTTTTAGTGCAGGTTTATATCTGGGAAACTCGTCTATGATTGCTGGATTTCCCAGGCAGCCACGTTTGTTGACAGGGCAATTGTTTGAAGAACATGATCAAAAGGACACTCCTACAAGCCGAAAGCTATATATGAATCAGTGAGAATGGACTGGCAAGTTAGATGGAGTTAGCAGTTAGCATTACATCAACAGTTTTCGTTTATTGAAATTGAGAAGCCTTCAATTCACGGACAACATCCAAACCAAAACAGACCATGTTGTGGAATTCTGCGGTTCAAAGAGAAGACATATTGTACCTTATCCAGCATTTCAATCACTGTTTGTGGAAAGAAGACATCCAACAACTGTTCACACTTGAGAATAGCAGGAATAGCAATGTAAATTATCCCTAGTTGATGTTTATTATTGGATATACCGTTATACCCGTTTGGCATGATTGAAAAACTGACCCCCAGTCCTGGTTGGACCCTGGGATGGTTTAACCACGACCAAAAATGGCTTTCCGATGGGTCGAACAATGTGGTAAATCCAATCAGAATGGCTATACATAGCCTAAAAACTATCATGTTAACCACATAAAATAGCATAAAATATCAGAATTCAGATGGGTCGAACAACCAAGTAGCCCAAACTTGGAGAATCCACTCGATCTGCTCACAATCATTCCTGATCTGCGTAAGAATGAAGGCTTTCCATCGTTGAACCCATCCTTTCTGTCAACGCTGGATTAGTACATCCCCAGAGGGCCACCTCACTTCCAGCAAGGGTTCCACCTGCACTGGGATGAGAGAATCAGACAAAAACGAGAACTTCAGAACTCATTAGCAATAACATATATATTTTTACATGCGTATGCTAGGTAAACTCTGGTTTATGCTAGGTATAACTATAGTGAAGGAGGTTTATAAACCAACGTATAACATCGTATAACTGGGGGGCACCATCCTGTATCATCAAAGTGAATTTGCCAGAAAAAAAACAAACACCAAGAACAAACAATCAACCAACACAAATCGGGGATGTAAGGTGAAAACTATTTTCAACCAACAAGCTAGAGAATCACCTTTCAATCTTCAATCGCAGGGTTGAGTCAATCAACAGTTGACTAGAAAACATGTTTTTTTTGAAGGAAATACTATGAAATACTCACTACCCTGTGGTAGTTTTGCTGCTATGGAAAATCACCGAACTGTTCATTACGATAAATTGAATCATTAAATCATCGGACTTCTTCTAGTGGGTCCCTTTTTGCATGGTTATCTTATCATTCTTATCAAATGGTGCCAGGTGGGGCCCTCGTTTACGAGCATGCTAAATTGCTTGAACTAACTCGGTGAAGTCTAGGGTTTTTTTCGTAGAACATGATATCACCATAGTTTTCCTGAGGTTAATAAACCAATTTATATAATCCAATTTTATAGGGGCCCCACATTGCAAAAATCTCCGCATATTATGTGTTCGATGTTTCACACGCATGTTTTCCAATTCCTGGATATCAACTCTTGGAATATGGAGATAAGATGGAGATCAATGGAGATACTGCCGGGGGATGAAACCCAACCCGATAAAGGATTAAAATGGATTAGGTCAATATCAATCATGGATAATCGTGCCAGGTGACAAAGCATTTCGACCACTAAGCAGCTCTGCTACATTTCTATCCCCTTTTTTTTGAAATCCCCATATTTGTTGGCAATATTCATGTTTCAAAACGGCATATCAATGAATATATCAGCATGGGTACGGGTGGTGGGAGTTTAAGACCCGGATCATTCCTACATCTTTTGGGTACCCAATGCCTTTAGTAGCCATATATACAAAGGAAAATGCAAGGAAACATGACGTTCATGCCTAAAGCGGCCCAAATCTGTGTTTGGGCCAAAATGAACCTATCCATGTGAACCAACCAGTTTGATTGATGAAATCGGAGCCACGCCTTTTGTCATTGGCCGGTTACATCCCCAATTGAAACCACGAACCATGTATGTAATGTTAAACCGGGATTGTTACACTTGGTTCAAAAATAGTACCCCGATGTATCGATACGGCAGTAACAATTCTGATACTACTTTCTCACTCTTTTGCGGACCCCCCCTTCAATAATCTGACTGTTCGACCACCATATTAATGGGCCATTGGTTGATTCATAGTGAAGTAAATGGGGAAGTCCCAATTCAAATATATGTTATCAATACAATTGATGAATAACTCACTAATGTTGACATTAGTAGCCATTAGGTAAAATAGTTGACATGTAACTATGTAACACATTTCATAGCAATATCTCAATCAATGTTTAGCTGACTAATCTGGCTTTTCACATTTCCCAACTTGACCTCGGAAACGTACCAAACCAAGGTCAAGCCTGCCGCACCCACAAGCCACCAGGAAGCAAGGCAGTTTCCTGGGTCAGCAGCTTGAGGGATTGTGAATGGCTCTGGATTTTGGGGCAGCCGGCATAGGAAGTTTCTAACCAGCATCAAAACACATTTTAAATGCGCTTGAAGCAACAAGAATATACCAAAATTGTGACTGGTTGATTCAAATGGGATAAATCAAAATCAATGGTCAGAAAACAAGACAGGCAAATCCCCCATGTGTCTGGTAGGAATTAAGCCATCCAATAATTATTGGGTAACTTAAGACTAGCGGCGGAAAAAAAGAAAGTCAACGTGGCCAAGCATGTCAAAACACATTCACTAAATGGCCATTTTCAATAGCCATGTTAAATTACCAGAGGGTAAAACACATATCATCCCATTATTCACCATTGTTAACCCATTGTTAAACCACTAAATCACCATTAAATCACCACTTTCCATAGTTAAACCTCCAAGCATGTTAACAAATCACCCCTGCAAAGTATTTGGGGGCACACCCGTAAGGACGGGTGTCGGCGGGACGAAATCCCACCTCACATTAAGCTCACGATGGGCCTTTTCTTTCAGATCTTCTTGGGCTTCTCCTATATAGCTACGTTGGGTAACTAGGTTATTAACTGGTAACTTTGGCTTATGCTAGATATGTCTATAGTTACCAGTTAATAGTTGATGGGGGTCTATAACCTAGTTTATAATCAGTTAACTGGTTAGACATATCAGTTAATAGTTACCAGTTAATAGATATGTCTAATAGTTGATACAGTAACTGATAACTGATAACTGATGTATTATGGTTACCAGTTATAACTAGTTTATTCGGTAGATGTGTCATGATATGTCTATAGTTCATGGGACCAACTGGACAAACCCCAGGACCCATTTCACAGGGCCCGTGGCTCAAGCCATGAATAATTCATTTCACAGCAAGAGCTATATACATTAACACACTTACTGGTGCTTAGTAGGGAATGGATGGGAATGGGGGAATGGGATGATTGTTGATAGTTATTGTGGATCATTCCCTCATTCCCTACTAAGCACCAGTAAGTTGATGGCCAGATTTCCAATGTATGGATATGTATGGATGTAACATGATGTAACCAGCTTGAACAAATCCATTGTGACTGTTCTAAACCATTTATTTGTTAAATGAAAGCGAGGTTGAACTGACGAGAAAAACATCAGCCGAATCAATCAGTTCACCATGTTCCAATGAACATTACAAAAAAAAAACACATCTCCCCAATGTCAGACATACCGACATACCCAATGTTTTTTTTGTAGATTGGTTTATGAAACCCATTAATCAGATTGAAATGTCTACCACAAACCATACCATACCCATATGCTCCATGGTGCTGGTATATTTACCAGCATTGGCCCTGATAATCACCCAGTTTTGTAGGTAAATATACCAGCACCATGGTTCGCAGATATTTCTATAGTGAAGCTGCTCATCAAACTCCAAGTTTCTCTGTGTCCCAAACGGCTCACATCAAAACGCACATCGGCCGTGACCTGCAACCGATTGCAACCGCGATGCCGGGGCCGGGTTTCTGTCGATTTATTTCACACATATTTCTGGGGTGTAGTATGGTCTAGTAACAGATCTGTGGTCATTATGGGAATATAAAACCTAAGGTCATATCTATAATAGGTACTTGTTTTGTACCTTGAAACATGTTTTTTTTAAGACAACAATGGACATTACCCCCTGGCTATGGCGGTTGGAAAGCCATGGAGAGTGGTCCAAAATTCTGGTGGTTTCAACCTACCTACCCCTCTGAAAAATGATGGAGTGAACCTCAGTTGGGAAGGATGACATTCCCAAGATATGGAAAAATAACAAATGGTCCAAAACCACCAACCAAAACAGTTATTGAACGTAAAGTAATGGAGCTATACTGTAGTCCTATATGTATAACATTATGTTCGAATCTACATTCTATCAGCAGCCTAGACCTGGGACCTGTTTCTGAAAATTCGCCATCCCTTGGACTATGCAGAAACTCCAGTGGCAGTTCCCTTATAAAAGACAACATCCAACTTGTTAGCTGCTGATTTTTGCTAACTTCTGTTTGGGTCGTTCATAGGATGCTGACCTAATTTTTTTGTTTAAAAAAACAAAACATCCACTGAGATGGACCATCATGTCGATTGACTTGTCATAAGTGCCTGACAACAATATTAATGCTTTTGTCTGAAAATAGGATACCCCAAAGTCCACTATATGACCATTGCTGTTTTGGGTGGTACCCTCTGGAAAACGTTTACAGTTTGCGACATAGAAGCCATATGAAGCCATGGCCCAGCTCAAAAATGGTGGATCTATGTGGATCTTTCCATCCTTTTTTCTATGTTGACTAGAGGGTAAACCTCCATTTTCCAAAAAGGTTTTCCTATGGGTTATACCACAAAAACATCCCAGTTTACCAGAGGGTATTAATATAATGGATGGAAAGACACCGGGCCCATGTCCGTTTCGCCATCCACAAAGGAATCCACAAAGGAATCCACCGAAGAATCCACAAAGGGTCCACCTCGGAGAGGATCTGCCGCACTTCGAGCTGGCCATCACTGAAGCTCATGGACGCCGCGCAACGCAGGCGTTGAGCCAACCTGGAAAAACGACAACAAAAGGTTGACTCAGTTAAGTTGGTTTGGTGATATTTTTTGAGGTGATTGGATCATCACTTCGCACAAAACATGGGGATTTTCATGTGTTCAATGATTAAATGGGATTGAATGGACCTTAAACCAGCAAACATCCTCAAACCTTTGGCTAGTTGAAATGACGTTCACCTCAGGCATTTCTGGGACTAAAAAACACTGACCATGAACCACGTTAAATTTAGTATCCCCCAGAAGGAGATAGAAAAGTAAAACACGACTAAAATAGTGGTAAAGTACTTTTGTGTCTTTTTGGGGTTACTATGATATATATGATATGTATATGGTTGGTAGTTGGGGAAGGGATAAACCACCATTTACCAAGCAGTTTTGACTCCCATTTTAACATCCCTACAGAGAGACTAGTTACCTGGACATCCCAACCTGGATGACATATATTAATTACCCTCTGGTTATTTAACATAGCCATGGAAAATGGCCCATGTATAGATGGTTTACCTATTAACAATGGTGATTTCCATGGCTATGTTAAATAACCAGATGGTATATGAATGAACAAACATCATTGAATCCACCAATCAGGTCTTGATCCACGACCTACAGAGCTCGAGATCGCCAACTTTCAACATTGGGCACCACAACTGATGAATCAATCCTCGGAAGTATGGTGCGGTATCCTGCTGGGAATTCACATGGAAAATCTAGGATTTCATCGATGAACATCCGGCACATGTTTCCAGCAAAATCTGGAAAGTCATCAGATTTCACTGCTCCCTTTCTGAAAGTCAAAGATGTCAACTCATTCCACTGCGCTAAAAACTCCTGGTAGCCTCGCTTGTTCTATCAACCGACTTCAAGCCGGCCGACCCCGGCCGGCTAAATGATCTAAATGCGTCAAGGGAGCTGTTGATATTCTGCAGCATTGGCATAGTGAACATGGAAGCTGGGTTTGAACTTACCTCAGAAACGGAAAGTAAGTCCAGCGAATGATGCTGGGCCGAATCCAAAAATCAGGTGAAAATAAATCAGGTTCAACACTCTATGGGTCATCCAATCAAAACATGTAGAAACTCCTGGTGCTTCCGAATGCCTTATGGGTATTTTTCAGGAACTCCATATTCTTTTCAGTGCTGCGATAGTAGCCATGATTCGGGCCCCATTGGATCAACACGGATCAACCTCCAATTCTTCCGCCAGCCGTGTCGGAATGGTTTCCCCGATGCCTACGATTTGGCCACATGAAAAATTCGATGAAAAACCCATCCCCCGAAATCCCGAATAGAGGGATGGGATGATTTTCTCTGATCACTGATCAACCCCTAGCAGTCAGTCAGAATACCATTTATGGAATTATAACCCCATGAAACTAGCCATTTATGAAATTATTTATCACCATTTTTTTTGTATTTTATAACTGGTATCTAGCTCAGCTAGGGCTGGAAATGATGCTTTAACTGTACCATCTCCTTTTTTCCCTTTGCCGCTCAGTGGCTCTTAAGGATTGAGAAAGGAGCCACGATCCGAGTTTCAGTTCCTCCGGTCTTCGTTGCCACCTCGGATCCAATGGGGGGTATCACCAAAAAACCGGTGGTGCCCAGTGAAATGTTTATAAGCCTTACAAATTTAATACATTCTAATACACCATCAAAACAATTGTTAACCTATAATATTCACCAACTTGGCCATGATAAATTCACTCTCAAATTTCCCGATCAAGTTCTTAGTTCAACTTCACTATCAATAATTCCACTCTAAATTCCCACAAGTTGTTTCTTGTCAATATAGAATCCCATTAAAATCCCCATTTGTTTCATCGGTGAAATCCTCCACTGTTCGGTCAGACACCGGACCTGGACGAAGTGTTCGCACTCTATGCAGAAGCCGCTGGTCTCCCCTTCGATCTTCTGCATGTGGCCTCAACATCTTCCGACATCAAAAAGGCTCGGACCAAACAAACAAAATATCGGTTAGTGCTATGGTTAATATGGGTAATACTGTTTCTTAGTACCATTGGATAGTACTATACATCTATACAACTGGTTGGTGGTATACCTACCCCTCTGAAAAATATGAGTTCGTGAACGTCATTTGGTTCAAGTCATATAGCAGCCATGTTCCAGTCACCAGCAACCAGATATATTGTTATTCCAATTAATTAACCATAGATTAACCATAGATTTAATCCACTGAACGAAAAACTCAACGAGAACTTGCCTTAAAGAGTCACTTAAAAAAGGGGAGAAGATTCAGATGAGCTGAGATGGTCCCAACATGTCCCGTTAAGCGCGCATCGTCACTACATCGTGACTTGCGAAATGGGTGATTGTGGGTATGCCACGTTTGATCAAGATATATCAAGATACTCCATCACCAATAGCTCCTGATAGGGCGGTGGATGCAAGTACTATGTTGTATTTGTGTCTGAAAATGAATACTTTGTAATGTGTGTTGTGTGTTGTTTGCTGTTTGTTGTTGGCGTTGTTGTTGTCATTCTCGTTGAAGCAAACAAAAATATGAAAGCAACACAAAAACAAAAAAGGAACATCAGAAAAAAAAAACAAAAACAAAAAACAAACCGAGAGAAAGAACACAAAAACTGCAAAAAACAAAACCACGTAAAATTAGCCTGCTATTTTACACCCACAAAAAATATTGGGTTGCATGTTTAACCTATCTTATCAGCAGCCCAGAAAAGCAAACACGATACCCAAAAAATGCACAGCAGGAAAGCCGACTTACCCAGTCCCAGTCTCCTCATCTGGCGGAAGTGGCACCATCTTTGATGGGACCATATTACATGCTAGTCTTAGATATCCCAAAAAAATGTCATAGCTGATTGAGACTCTCATTATCATAATTGTATAATCATCCCAAATTGAAATGCAATTATATATAGGTAAAGCACTGTCATAAACCATCCCCCAGTCATCACCATCTTTATAGGTGGTTAACAAAAACACATTCCCAGTCATGGCTGGCAAAAATGGCATCGTTTTACCCACAGTTTTTCAAGTAGGATGAAAGCAGCCATCCGGTCGAGGGGCGATAGGGAAATTTGATGATCGAAGCGGCCACATCCTCCGGTTGAAAGATCAGTGACCTGGACTGCAGACCCCTTTGGGGCCATCGCCATGGGAATTGCACCACGAAAATGAACAAGAACTACCTCAAGGTGGGAATTTAGAGTGGATTTATTGATAGTGAACTTGAACATACTTGAACGACCTGGCTTAACCATTGGGTTTTGACGAATTTCGAACCAGTCAATGGGGGATCAACCGCCGAGCTTTTGCGACCCACCCGCCGAGGCGCTTGGAGCAAATCCGAAGCCGACCCTTGCTCTCCGCCACTTGGTTGCGGCGCGTCAAAGCCATGGTAGCGGCCACGTCCGCGATGTAGTCCTCACCTGGTTTTCTCGGATGTTGTCATCGTGAGATATTCCAAGAATTGGGGATACAATGGTACAATGGGGATCATCAGATACATATGATATATAATTATTATCTGATACTGGACAATAACATACAATAACTATCATCAGTATAGTCCCCATATATATAAATATATATTCAATAGTCAATAGTGACTATAATCATCTGATTATATCTAAATATGGGGACATCATGTCGATATCTAAATATGGGGGCATCATTGTCATCATTCATGATGCGAACAAATGGGGATCTGGTTGGTTCTATCATTGGTGATTAAACAATGATAGAACCAACAAAAAGCTGGGATAAAGCTGGGATTACTGAGATTAATCATGTTAGTTACCATATGGTTATTTAACATAGCCATGGAAAATCCCTGATAAATGGAGGTTTTAATGGGAAATTCATCTATAGATGGACCATTTTCCATGGCTATGTAACAAAGTACCAGAGGGTAGTACTGACAACATGCTGAGATCATGGTGATATCTTCACGGCGTTTTTTTTTCCCCACCTGCCAGGTGAGGGTTGTTAGATTTTATGTCAGTTGCCTCCTCCTCCTGCCGCCTCCTGCCTCGTCCTGCCGCCTGCCTCCTCCTCGTCCTCCTTGTCGTCCTTGTCGTCCTCGTCGTCCTCGTCGTCCTCGTCGTCCTCGTCCAACTGCGACCCGCGATCCACAGTGTTCGCTGCCGGACCTCAACCACGACCATCCACGCCCAGTGTTCCCTGCCGGACCTCAACCACGACCATCCACGCCCAGTGTTCCCTGCCGGACCTCAACCACGACCATCCCCGCCCAGTGTTCCCTGCCGGACCTCAACCACGACCATCCACGCCCAGTGTTCCCTGCCGGACCTCAACCGCGACAATCCACGCCCAGTGTTCCCTGCCGGACCTCATGCCAAATAGAAGCAAATAGAATGCCAGATAGAATGCCAGAAGATATGTCAGAATATATGCCAGAAGATATGCCAGATAGATATGCCAGAAGATGCCAGAAGATATGCCAGAAGATATGCCAGATATGTCAGAATATATGCCAGAAGATATGTCAGATAGAATGCCAGAAGATATGTCAGAATATATGCAAGAAGATATGCCAGATAGAATGCCAGATTGAATGCCAGAAGATATGTCAGATAGAATGCCAGAAGATATGCCAGATAGAATGCCAGAAGATTTGCCAGATAGAATGCCAGATAGAATGCCAGAGATATGCCAGAAAATATGCCAGAAGATATGCCAGAAGATATGTCAGATAGAATGCCAGAAGATATGCCAGATAGAATGCCAGAAGATTTGCCAGATAGAATGCCAGAGATATGTCAGAATATATGCCAGAAGATATGCCAGATAGAATGCCAGATAGAATGCCAGAAGATATGTCAGAAGTATGTAGAATGTTATGCCAGAAGAATGCGATCGAATGCCAGATAATATGCAAGACGATATGCCAGTAGAATGCAGAAAGATTTGCAGATAGAATGCCAGAGATATGCCAGAAGATATGCAGATAGAATGCCAAATAGAATGTTCAGAAGAGAGCAGATAGATGCAGAGATAATATCAGAAGATTGCCCAGAATATATGCCAGATAGAATGCCAGGCTTGAAATGCCAAGAGATATGTCAGATAGAATGCCAGAAGATATTGCCAGATAGAATGCCAGCAGATATGTAGATAGATGCAAGAGATATGCCAGATAGAATGCCAAATAGAATGCCAAATAGAATGCCAGAAGATATGTCAGAATATATGCCAGAAGATATGCCAGATAGAATGCCAGATAATATGCCAGAAGATATGCCAGATAGAATGCCAGATATAATGCCAGAAGATTTGCCAGATAGAATGCCAGAAAATATGCCAGAAGATATGCCAGATAGATATGCCAGAAGATATGCCAGAAGATATGTCAGAATATATGCCAGAAGATGTGCCAGATAGAATGCCAGATAATATGCCAGAAGATATGCCAGATAGAATGCCAAATAGAATGCCAGATAGAATGCCAGATAGAATGCCAGAAGATATGTCAGAATATATGCCAGAAGATATGCCAGAAGATATGTCAGAATTTATGCCAGAAGATATGTCAGATAGAATGCCAGATAATATGCCAGAAGATATGCCAGAAGATATGCCAGATAGAATGCCAGAAGATTTGCCAGATAGAATGCCAGAAGATATGCCAGATAGAACGCCAAATAGAATGTCAGAAGATATGTCAGATAGAATGCCAGAAGATATATCAGAATATATGCCAGAAGATATGCCAGATAGAATGCCAGATTGAATGCCAGAAGGTATGTCAGATAGAATGCCAGAAGATATGCCAGATAGAATGCCAGATTGAATGCCAGAAGATATGTCAGATAGAATGCCAGAAGATATGCCAGATAGAATGCCAGAAGATTTGCCAGATAGAATGCCAGATAGAATGCCAAATGGAGCTTTCCAGCAACTCTTGCGCCTCCAGTGTAGAATCCACAGGGCCACGATATTTGTTGGAATCCGCTCTGCCTGCCAACTCTTCAATCTCTTCTTCATCCAACTCTTCCACAGGCGCGTCAACAAAAGTCTTTTGCAACACTTCGGGCGTCTCACCATCAATCCACTCTTCTACATCAGCTTTTCTGCAAATTGCCGCTTGGTGGCAAGGTGGGCGCTTGTTCTACGATGGTGGTAACGCCATCGAGTCCAAATGCAGAGTGCGACCGTTCCCAAGGATTCTTGCTGTTGGCCGTAAAAAATACCTTGGTGAGAATTACCCTGCGCAAAGGCAACAACATTCTGTGCCCATATGGCATCCTGCGCATCAACTCTGGGTGTCGCCCGAGCCACTTTCCGTTAGCCAAAGCTCGCACAGGCATTTCAGGTGGGTTTTTGATCAAACACCGCCTACATTCTTTGCACAAAGGAGCTTGTTCCTCGCCTGTGCACATGCGTTTCGTCACACGACGTTTGTGTAAAAGCATTTGGACTTTATCACCTGTTTGCAACAGAACAGTTGGACAAGACTTGAAGACTTCTTCCGATGGCACCTCTGGCCAAGTTGTAATAGCAAACAAACTTTATCTTCTTTCTGAAACTCAGTCTTCGCACCAGCAATGAAAGTCGGAATGAGTTCCTCTGACCAACGTCTTTCAGCACACACTACACATGCGACAAATCGCCGGGGTCCCCATCTCTCATCTCGCTGCAAACCCTTCCCCAGACTCAGCTTGTCATGCATGTGCGTAGTGAAGTTGTTCCAATCTGTGCCAGAAGATATGCCAGAAAGAATGCCAGAAGATTTGCCAGATAGAATGCCAGAAGATATGCCAGAAGATATGCCAGAGATATGTCAGATTTATTGCCAGAAGATATGTCAGATAGAGTGCCAGAAGATATGCCAGATGGAATGCCATAGATTTGCCAGAAGAATGCCAGAAGATATGCCAGAAGATATGCCAGAATATTTGCCAGAAGATATGCCAGATAGAATGCCAAATAGAATGTCAGAAGATATGTCAGATAGAATGCCAGAAGATATGCCAGATAGAATGCCAGAAGATTTGCCAGATAGAATGCCAGAAAATATGCCAGAAGATATGCCAGATAGATATGCCAGAAGATATTCCAGAAGATATGCCAGATAGAATGCCAGATAGAATGCCAGAAGATATGTCAGAATATATGCCAGATAGAATGCCAGAAGATATGTCAGAATATATGCCAGAAGATATGCCAGATAGAATGCCAGAAGATTTGCCAGATAGAATGCCAGAAGATATGCCAGATCATATGCCAGAAGATATGCCAGATAGAATGCCAAATAGAATGTCAGAAGATATGTCAGATAGAATGCCAGAAGATTTGCCAGCAAGAAAATGTATAAATGTCATGGTGGGGATCACACGAAGTAAAGTAATTTTTATAAAACAGAGAGAGACCGCCCACAAGGTGGTGTCCCATTTCGAAGGCAAACCGTTGGCTAAAATAACCACAACTATGGTGACTACATCTACCATCTGGTTATTTAACGTAGCCATGGAAAATCACCATTTATAGATGGTTTACCTATTAAAAATGTGGATTTTCCATGGCTATGTTAAATAACCAGAGGGTATATTAATATGCATATGTATAATATGTATCTATGTATATATACTGTATTAATGCAGACAAACATATGAATGATTTATATATATAGTGTATAGTACATGTATCTATGTATATACTGTATTAATGCAGACAAACATATGAATGATTTATTATATAGTGTGTATAATACATGTATCTATGTATATACTGTATTAATGCAGACAAACATATTAATTGGGTTTTACAGTTTTACATTTACAATATCAGTTCTGTCATCATTATAGGAACTAGCTGCGATATTCCGTGGGATCATACCGTTTGGATCATGTCCCAGTTCCGTTTGTTTTTTGTGCAATAAAAAAACGGAAGAAAAGTTACATGGTCAAACTAGAAAATTCTACAGCTTGATTTATTATTCTCTGGTTGATGGGGTTGCAATGGGCTCATTTTTAGTGTTTTTCGATTGCAATGGTCATATGGAGTGCCTACATGTATCAGGTCGCTAAGTTTGAGACAAGTCATGTTGGATTCTTCCACAATCCCCATCAAACAAGTTACAGTAACACCGGATCAAGAAAAACACATCACCAGGTATGTTAGGCATTGCTGGGGAGCTTGCGCCCTCCGGAAATTTCACAGTTTGACAACTGGAAGCCATGGACATATACTTTGATGACTGACCTATGATCCTTTGATGGTGATTTTCCAGAGCAGACTACTGAGTTACCAGAAGGCATATGTGTTATAGATTGTTTAGGTAATGATCCTGAAGTAGGTAGAATATGTACGAGAATCAATATGTTCCTGCTGGGGTGGTACAACACAGAATGGCAAGGGGCACAACTAACCAGCCACTCACGCCGGCGATCACAGATTCTTGTATCCCATTTATCAACACCTTGCAATCCTAGGGCCCTAGTTTTTTTTTGGTATCGTGTCACTAGTTTGAATTCCCATGGCTTGCTGAATTTCCCAATCTTGGTTGCTTAAATTCTAGGGGTTTCCTTTTTGTTGGTCAAACCCCATCTCGGTTCTTCACCCACCTCCTGTAAATTTCAATTTTTGGTGGCAGTGTCTGTTTCCTCTTCGTTGACATCCCAAAATGGGTTTTCGGCAAATAGGCTACCCCCAAATCTAGTGCTTAGTTGGTTTTGCTCATCATTTTTTAGAGCAAAAAATGGCCCGCAGTCCGGATGTAGCAGAGTTTGGCAAATGTCTGTTTTTGTTGGGTGGATTTTGAAGATCACCTGAAAAGTGTACCCTCTGGTTATTTAACATAGCCATGGAAAATGCCCCATTTATAGATGGTTTACCTACTAAAAATGGTGATTGTCCATGGCTATGTTAAATAACCAGAGGGTATCTGTTTGGAGATCACAGTATCCTTTTTTTGTTGGGTGAGGTGAACAAATCGTAGGACATGAAAATGGACGTTTACCAACCCCTGGTGTAAAAAATCACCCATGTTCATGTGATGTCGTAGATACTGTTGGTGAATACCCTAAATTGTAGGACATTTATCTGGGTAAATTATAATATTTCACTAACCTGAATAGTTGGGCCATAAAAGGGGATGATTTCCCTAAAATAAACCATGATAAACCAGGCTTCGGGAGAACAGGGTTCGGTCGTGATGAAATTTACCCAGATTTATAATATGGTTGATTGTTGATTATTGGTGGCTATATATTGTTCCATCAAAAACTACCATTATCCCATAGTATGGTTATAATGTACCTTCTGGTAAACTAACATAACTATGGAAAATAACATTTTTTAATGAGTAAATCCACTATGAATGGCAATTTTCAATAGCTTTTTGTATGTTTACCAAAGGGTACCCAGATTTATCCAGATCATCGCAGAAAACCCCTTGGTGCGCTGTCCGGTGCGCTAAAACTGCACCCACCTTCCTCCATGATGAGCAGGTTGAACCTCCGATCGACCTTGAATGATCAGGTAGATTAATCTTCAGCCAAAAAAACAACATTCATATGTACAGTTTCTATATATATATATGTTGCATGTATATAATGAATTATAATTCTATATATGAGTGCTTTGCTTCTTTCGTTTTTAATCAGTAAACAGCTCATCCTGGCTCAAAAGGTAAACAGAAAAACGTCATGCCAACTTCTCCTGACCGGCTGCGAGCAAGCGACGCGAAACGACATGGCGCGCTTTCCGAGTGTTTGGCTTCAGGGAAATGCTTTTCGCGCCTTTCGGAATCTAAGATCAGCCATTCACTCACCAGTTTTATATCACTTTTGCTTCTACTGGATTTCTAAGTGTATCTAGTTGTGTGTTGAACCGCTACCAAATGTTGATCCATTTTTACCAAAGTTTGATCCATAAATTGATCCGCATATTTCCATGTAATGACCAACATGGGATTGGGACAGCAATTACGTAGCCATGAACCAGTCGATTTGATGTCTATTTCATGTCTACGAAACATATGGGGATGGCTTGCAACCTGTGACTTCCCCGTCGGAGTGGATGAACATCCGTAACTGCCAGCTATGGATGTTTGCATGCAGGGTAGCCACCTCCTAACTGTGACCATTCGCCCCACTGGAGCCAAAGAAGCTGCAAGATCGACCACATTTTGACGGCTATTGGCACGGATACTTGTTGGGGTGAAACCCCAGTCTATAGACGATTGTGGAGTTGCAGTGTCCAGTATACACATATGGGGGTTTCCTAAAATAGGGCTACCCCCAAATCATCCATATTAGTAGGATTTTCCTTTATAAACCATCCAGCTATTGGGTATCCCCCATGACTATGGAAACCTCCATGGGCAAATAGTTGCAAATCATATTTGTGGGTTAAACATAGGCAACTACACTAGCACTACGGATGATCTGGGTATAGACAGTCGGACAACCTTTGCTTAACAGATCAGATCAACGTGCGCTTGGAATCTGAATCAAACCAACAAGCAAATACATGACGATTTATTCCAGTAGGCAGGTTGTAGCCCAAATAAGAACGATACTAAACTTACTGATTCACGTATGATCTATTGTCTTTCTACGTATTTCTACTCACAAACTGAGCTACATCACTAGTCGATCATATTTACTATTGGTAATTTGATATTTCGCTGATTTCTGCTCACTATTGACTACTAATCAGCAAGTACACCGTACACTAGTCCAATCTTTCCATCTGTGCCGCTGATTGGTGTGGGATTGGTTTTTGCCGCCTCTGGCCTGAATTGACAGCTATCACAGTTTGTGCCTTTCCCATACTTTTTCTGATAAACCGCAAAAGAAACAAAAACATAGCAACCTCAATCTTCGCTTCTTTGATGGGGATGTACTTTTCTACCTTTGGGGGACTGACATGTTACAGTATTATTTTGATCTTAATACTGTCAACAATCGATTCAAAGGTCCTTGGACCCAGGTAAATTCCTTTTAGTTCCAGTCCGCATTGGCTAACACATCAAACATGCACAAACAAAGTGGGTGGGCCGGTGGGCCTTTCCATCTTGGAAAAAACAGTGATGCTCAAATAAATGTTAATGGGAGTAGAGATTGTCATGATTGCTATTGAAATTAATAGGAATAAACATGGATCAATGGTGACAAATACTCTCTAACCATGTGGCCCTGCGTGCTTAAACCATTTCACCACAAGTGAGCCGTGTTCAAGACCATTAGTCAATCTACTTTACTGGAAAGGATTTCATCAACTGATTTTGATACTCTCCAAGATGTGTAGACCATATATATATATATATATTGGCTGGTATAACCCTGTAACTAATCATCTTCCATCTATCATTTGTCAACTATATATATATATCCCATCCTGTTTGATGGTTAAAACTGACATAGGTGTCCTGCAGCCAGTGTTCAAATCATGTATCAACTATATCACCATATGTCTTGATACTTGAAACATCTTAAAACTCATATTATTGATGGTTAAATACTCCCTATAAATGATGGTTACCCTCTGCTAAACTAACATAACTATAGACAAACAAAATCACCATTTTGAATAGGTAAATAAATTATACATGGCCATTGTCAATGGCAAACTGTAACAAGTTACCAGAGGGTGATCCCTCTAAATGATGGTTGAACACTATAAATGATGGTTAACGCCATTCCCCATCATCGCCTCCAGGTGATGACTCTTGCTGCACCTCAAAGGCGAAACATATCGACAGCGACACATAGATATGGGTGGTTTCCATAGAGTATAATGGTGGTATCCAAAAATGGTTGGTTTATAATGGAAAATCCTATATTTAATATATATATATATAAATATCTACATGTATGTATATATATATATATATATATGGGGGGTTCCTGAAATAGGGGTACCCACAAATATTCCATTTTAACGGTATTGTCCATGAAATAAACCATCCAGCTATTGGGGTACCCCCATTTTAAGAAACCTCCATATATACATATGAATGTCATGTAGTAGTTCATGTCTCTGATGAGCATGTTTCTGAAACCAACTCATTGAATGTGTGTATTTCATGGTACTTTTCACCCAGTACCACTCTGTTTTTACGCAAGGAATCCTTGAAACAAGTTCAATGAGTGGCCAGAACATGCTTGAAGCCTTCAGGGGTCCTGCTGAATCCCAAAAAAAAACACACCCCAGATGTCCCTGCGGCGACTGCTTGAGCAGTTTCATTCTTTCCGTCTTTGTTCGTTGGAGGGTAGCCACATCAGTCCATACATAAACATAAATCATATATATATATATGTAAATCTAGACATATATGTATATATATATATAGATATCTGGGCAACTTATATTGAATTCCCTAACCAGAAATAAGGCCATGTTGGGATGATTCCCCTCATTAACCATGATTCCAGTGAGGTCGCGGTGAGGTCGCTATAATTTGCCAATATATATATATATATATGTATGTATGTATGTATGCATGCATGCATGCATGCATGCATGCATGCAATGTATGTAATGTATGTAATGTATGCAATGTCTGTAATGTATGTAATGTATGTAATGTATGTAATGTATGTATGTAATGTATGTTTTCATGTATTAATGTATGTATTAATGTAATGTAATGTAGTGTAGTGTAGTGTAATGTAATGTAGTGCAATGTAATGTAATGGTATGTAGTGGCATGTATGTATGTATGTATGTATGTAAGTATGAATGTATGTATGTATGAATGTATGTATGTATGTATGTATGTATGTATGTATGTATGTATGTATATAATAAATATATGTATGATTGTGATTGTATGTATCCATATGTATTCATGTATTGCAAGTAATAAAACCATATATATATATATTGTATTACATACACATAACTTCTACATTGCCCATTATTTACGCACTGAGCCAGGCAATCCCATTGGAACAGCCAAGGTCACAGCGGAGCCGGCTGACTGGCTGACGCTTCCTGGCAAAAGTGGCTAGCAACATGTAAGAATCATAAAAAGAACACCCCCAGGTAGATTCATTGAATATTATATATGATATATATACACATATTACTATATTACTAAATTTACATTTCATATAAAATATGAATAAACATATATCAATGTGTCATTATATATCCCTGTTGTTTATAAACCAATATACAGTCTATTAACCTGGATGCATATCTGCTACTCGAACCTGGCAGCCGTTGCGCATCTCAGCCGGAAAAAGCCGGACAATCATAAGAGATGGGGGATTTGAAAAAGCCTGGGGCGATTCCAATTTGGATGAATTGTCAATCAATAGTTTTGTAGGATTCATTGAATGAAACATAGGATTATAACATGGATTATAACTATCCTTTTACTGAATCAATTCCAAAAATGAGGATGTTCAATCCAGGAAAGTTCGACCAAATATGGCCCCAAAATCGCAATCGCCAGGGGATGAACATCGGGATTCAACCAGTGAATTTTCGTAAATTCCGACCTTTGGAACAAAAAAGGGTTCCTTAAATATCCTGAAAAAATCGTGACATATCTATTATAATATCAAAAGATTTAAGGATAGTTAACATATTTTTAAGTCATAAGATGCAAATACAGAAAGTTTTCCATGGTTTTTCTTTGATTGCTTATTCCCGTGCACAATAGTATAATAATTCATTTCGAATGGACACAGTCCCGAAACTGATTTTGGGTCTGCCATCGATGCGCAGACTCAGCAGGTTGATGGTGCCAGGAGGATTGTCTGCCGGACATGATTTTTTGTCCCAATCTTCAGCAGTATGTTATAGATTGTAGTATGTTGTACGGCTCAGCCATGTGATATTCTTGTCTTCTGTCTGGTTTCTGCTGTGTATTTATCCTCATTTCAGATTCGTGAATATACGTATCATTGGATGAGCTATTCCAATCCGGTGTTTTTGATGATGGTCAATCGATTCAAGCAGCGACCGAAAAATACAATCATGATCCTTCGTATGCATCCACACCATAAAATAAGCAAGAAAGGCAAAGCTACAAAAGTGTCATTGCGCAGAGAGTTGGGAACCCAAATGGTTGATCCGTCCGACTAAGCCTCCCTGAAGCACTCCCCATTCTACGGAGCCTGGTATCCTGCGCTTGACCTAGACGGGCCGTTGAACGGTCTTAGTGCAATTGATTAAAATATGTACAAGTAGCATGAGATTCAAGGGAACTAGATGGAACATCTATAATGAATTTATGAAGTGTGTACGACTCTACAACATGTGTGCTGGAAGATTTGGGTTCCATATGGTTCCATATGGTTCTGATATGGCGACCGACGGTTGGGTTCCCACATCAAGGGGATATTCTGAAGGTCCATCACCCAACTTGTGAATAAAACACGTGGGCATACGTGGGCGGATATTTGCAGTAGATACTAAATATCAGATATTCAGAGACTGCCACGAAAACGGAAGTTAAATCATGTAACAGCAATGCAAGTGAAAACAAAATAAAGCAATACATGATAATAAATGTGCTTCTTACTTGGCAAAAATAGACCCAGAGACAGCAACAACAACGATCAAAATGATCAAACCCACTGGGAAAGGTTGGATCTCGGACAAAGTCAAAGGAGTCTGAGCCTGTCCCAGCCATAAGGGACTGACGTGCAAACCCAAATCAACAATTGGTGCCCCGCCAGTTAAAAGTGTGTTGGTTTATAAACCCCGTGTACGCTTGTTCGACATATCAGGTAGA